TCTGGCAGAGTCAGGTTACCCTTGAGTTCCCCTATTGGAACAATTAAGGTCCTGAACCACAAGGTGTTGTGGCGCAGGACCTTAATCGCGGCCCAGTCTTCTATGAGGCTTAGCCTCACCAATGCACAGCCCACACCCACCACGCACGTCTCATCAAATTAGTTTTTTTTTTCCTGTTAAATTACAATTGGCCTCCTTGAAAGTATCATATTTTTTCCTCAAAACAGCCTTACATCTCCTAGTCCAACTTAGGTGACGAGGGCGAGGATGCAGCGGGACCTAGGTCCTCCAGCACTCTCAGCCTATAGCAGCGTAACTATAGATTGCTCAGGATAACCTGAAACACTCTATAAGCTTTTTAACAAAATGTTTATGTCAGATGAAGGACAACTACAAAATAACAAGCTCCTTATTTAATGACACTTGTTTTTACCTTAATAGTGATTTTTAACTGACTTTGTTTTACATCAACAATTGATTCTATTGTTTGAATTGTGTGGATAAAGTGTTAAAACCCTAAAATCCACAGCCTGTCCTTTCTGCAGACACTTTATAAAGGTCAGATTAGTGCTCACAGTGTTGTTATTATCGCCTGTTGTGAAGGGGGCGGGGCCTACGGTCCGGCGGGCGCTGATTGGCCGTGATGCGCTCCCCCGTGGCACATGGTTCCGTTTTGTGTGAGTACGCGCGTGCGCACCGACGCCTCTCCGATGATATTTTATTTACTCCCGAAACCCAAGATGGCTCCTGTGAATGTCTCAGCCCCATAGCGAACCGAGGATGAGAGCAGCTGCTGAAAAGACAACTTTCCCTCGACCGTCGCATCGCCTGGAGTTCAGCCCGCCCGCTGCGGAGGAGGCTCTCCGCTCCGTCTAGGCCCCCAGCCGCCGCCGGAGCTCCGCGGAACCTTCTTCAACCACCGATTTGGAGTAGTTTCGCGAAGTCGCTCTTGTCGGGGTGTCGCTGTCTGTCCGGAGCGAGCTCATCCAAATGGCCGAACCGAGAAAAGTGCAGTTTGTCACCCTGTCGGCCTTCGCAGCCGGAACGGCCGCGGAGTCCAGGAAACGCCGGCTGGAGGAGGAAGAGGAGGCCGATTTCAACTTGGACAGAGCCGGAGAGGCAGAGGCAGGCAGCGGGGCAGGAGGCAGCGCCACTAACGGCGACAGGGAGCAGGCTGCCGCCGAGCAGAGGACGACCGTTCGGCTCAACCTGTCCCTGTCCGAGCCCGACGACCGGACCTCCGCAGAGTTTAACTACGGCGAACTCCTCCAGAACCTCCAGGTGGGCTGCTGCTCTCAGCGGACTGTGGGAAACTTATTCCCCCTTCTTGGAAGTGTTTATACGGACGTGTCATGGGGGTGAACCTGGTGGTGAATAGCGTGGCTCAAAGTGACCATTAGTGCAGCTCCACACAAAGACACCAGCTGTCCGCCCCGCAGCTCTACCTCACCGGCGCCCTGCGGGGGTCAGCCCCATCCTGCCTCCGCCACAGCCAGCAGCGCGTGGCAGGGTGGTGCTACCTGTGTCCTTTGACTCAGACCTGCCCAGCAACAGCCCAGTCACTCAGCCATGATGGGCCTAGGGAGCCACATGCAGTGGCCCTGTAGCAGCGATGGGGGGGGGTCAACACGTCTGAACTATAAACACATCTATTAGATAAAGTTTTATTAGTAAAAAAAAAAAAAAAAAAAAACTGAAAGTTACAACTAAGTTAACTTATTAAATTAAAAACATCTCATTAACCTGTAGTCAGAGGCGGATGTGGGAAATTTGGGGCCCTAGGCAAAAACAGGCAGATGGCCCTCTGAATTGAGATCCCCATATCATCACTCCTCCACCACCATGCTTGGTAGGAGGCGTTTGAAGTCATAAGCCTGGTTTATGCGTAGAAACCAGGTCTTCTGCGTGTGTGTCGCGGTAGTAGAGAAAGGAGTCCTCTAGCATGCCTATTTCAGCTGACTTTTCATGCTGTCTCTAAAGGAATGAAAGATTTTTTCCAAGCACTAAGCTCACTTAGCTGATTG